TTTCAGATTTTCAATTTTGGAATATCTAAATTTGCATCATTGTACATAGTAAGATATTTTGGAGATGGGAATCAAGGCAAAACACAAAACCCATTTATGTGTCATATATATGTAGATTGAAGATAATTTTATACACATTTGTAATCATTTTTGTGCATTAAACCAAGTTTGTGTACACTAAGCCATCAGAAAGCAGAGGTGTCACTATCTTATCTACCCATGTGAAGGAGGTAATAGCCACACTCTATTCTGCTTTGGTCAGACCTCACCTGGAATAACACCGTATTTAGTTCAGGGCACCACGATTCAAAATTGATATTGACCATTTGTAAACTGTCCAGAGAAGGGTGACCAAATGGTTAAAGGTCTGGAAGCCAAGCAGAGGAACAACTTAGGGAGCTGGGATGTTTAGCTTGGAGTAAAGAAGACTTGAGAAGAGACACGAGAGCCATGTTTAAATGTTTGAAAGGTTGTCACATTGAGAAGGGGGCAAGCTTGTTCTTTGCTGCTCTGAAGACCAGGACACAAGGGAGCAATGGATTCAAACTGCAGGAAAAGAGATTCTACCTAAACATCAGAAAAAACTTCCTGGTGGTAAGAACTGTTTGACGGTGGAATAAACCACCTTGAAGAGTGATACTGTCTCTTTCTCTGGAGGTTTCAAGCAGAAGTTGGATGGCCATCTGTTGGGAGTGCTTTGATTAGATGTTTCTGTAGGATGGACTAGTTGGCTGTTCTGATCTCTTCCAGCTCTGTGATTCTATGTGGACAATGTTGGCTACAGGAGTATTTTGGAATTCTGAATAAAGGATGTTTAACCTTGACATCTAAACCCTTTCTCAGAGACAAAGAACAAGAAATGCTAGTCCATGAGATGAATGAGAATGCCTTTCTCTCAGGGGCATTTTTTTAAGGCTGGGGGGAGTAGCAAGCATAGTACTTTAAACAAATATACTGGTAATCTCGGAGTTAAAACAAGATAAGTTCTGTGTGTTGTTGAAGGCTTTCATGGCTGGAATCACTGAGTTGCTGTGAGTTTTTCGGGCAGTATGGCCATGTTCCAGTAGCATTCAGAACAAACTTCTGAGGATGCCTGCCATAGATGCAGGCAATACATCAGGAGAGAATGCTACTGGAACATGATCATACGATATGAAAAACAGCAATCCAAGATAGGTTCTGTAGAGGAATTTGAATCTAAGTCAGAACAGGTACATTTTAAGTGCACATTTAAAGTGCAACTCCATCTCTCTCTCTCTCTCTCTATATATATATATATACACACACACACACACACACACACACAATATCTCTCTCTCTATCTATCTATATAAGCTTTGCTTATATTGGGAAAAATGAACACCTCTGTGGTGTTTGTTTTGCTTCCTGTGCCCCTGCTCAGAATATTTCATCTCACTTTCTGTCCCTGTGAGTACTGGATTTTGAAAAACGTACCTTGTTGTAGAAACAAGGATTGGAGCTAAAACACCAGTGGAGACCCCTTTTTCCCAGGATAACTCTTTCAGGAGAGAATTTCCCTTCTGAGGGGTAGATTTCTCTCACTTCCTGTTTCCTCACCCCTGTCCTTAACTAGAAGTCATTTGTAAGTTGGCTGCTTGTAACTCGAGGACTGCCTGTATACCGAAACATACGACAATTCTGGACTTTGCAGTTTAGTGAAGCCCAGGACCTCTATAGCCGAGCAGTTTAAAGGCCCCTTTCTGAAGCACAACTCGTCCAATGGGCTGCACTCAGATTACTAACTGGAGCGACATACAGGGAGCACACCATCCCCTTATTGCGTCAGCTCCACTGGCTGCCGATCCACTTCCGAACTCAATTCAAAGTGCTGGTTTTGACCTATAAAGCTCTATACAGTACTGGCCGAGCTTACTTGTCCAAACGCATCTCCCACTATGCCCCGCCTTGCAGTTTAAGATCATATGGGGAGGCCCTGCTCTCACTCCCACCAATGTTGCAAATACGTCTGGTGGGGACGATAGACAGGGCCTTCTTGACTGTAGCCCCCCACCTGTGGAACTCGCTTCCCAACAAGGTAAGATCTATTTCATCCCTCCTGTCTTTTAGGAAGAAACTGAAGTTGTGGTACTGGGACCAGGCTTTTGGACAGCAGGCATAAATAGCGCTTTGGATATGGAATTTGACTGGAATGGTGATATGGCGGTTAATACTGTTTTTACTGTTTTAATTAATGTTCTATTTATTGTTTTAATTGTTGTTATATTGCTTTGTTATATTCAATGGCATCAAATTGTGCCAAAAGTAAGCCATCTTGAGTCCCCTTTCGGGGGTTGAGAAGGACGGAGTAGAAATGCTGGAAATAAATAAATAAATAAATAAACTAGAAACAACTCTTTAACACCCCCTCCTCCTCCTCCTCTGTCCTTTTAAGAAGCAGTACCGCTTTCGGCCACCGGGGGCGCCCGCTCTACCTTCCGCCTGGCACCACAGAGAAATGTAAGTGACAGAGAACCACAACAGCACCTCGCAGCACTCTGGGGCTCCCTATCTACAATTTCCAATGGTTGGAAATCACAATGAAGACCATCTCCTCCAAAAATAAACACAAAAGAAACCCCTCACTCTTTCCATATTCCTATCAGGGCTGTCCTACTCGGCGTGACTCTTGAGCTGCAGCTCGTGTCCTCCTCCTCCTACCTCAAATGACCTCCCTCCTCCCTCCCTCCGAGGGAGCCGCAGATCTCTCTCACTGCTCACGTCGCACTCTCCCCCTCCCTCCTTCTCTTTCTCTTTCCCTCCCTCTTGCAACATCCCACAGCCTCCATCCACACCACCCACTGCCTTGGAGGGCAGCATCACCCCAAAGACACAGGGCCATGACTTCTCCTCTTCCTTCCCCAATCCCCCTTCTTCTCCACCTCTCTCTCCTACACTGCAGCCCATTTTTCCAATTGCTTTTAATATGTCACAGACCCCTTTCACACAGCTGTATAAAATCCACATTGAACTGGATTATATGGCAATGTGGCCTCAGATAACCCAGTTCAAAGCAGATTTTGTAGATTATCTGCCTTGATATTTTTGATTATATAGCAGTGTGGAAGGGCCCTAGGGCATGGACCCACTTTCAATCCGGTTTCTGCCTCCTGCAGAATTCTGGGGTTTGTACTTCACTTAGAACCCCTCCACACAACCATCTAACTCAAAATATCATGGCAGGTCATCCACAATATCTGCTTTGAACTCCAATATCCAAGTCCACACTGGCATACGATCCATTTCAATGTGCATTTTATACAGCTGTGTGGAAGAGGCGCCAGTTCAAAGCAGATATTATGGATGACCTGCCTGGATATTCTGGATTATATGGCTGTGTGGAAGGGCCCTGAGTCTACACTGCCATATAACCCAATTCACTGTGGATTTTGTAGCTGTGTGGAAGGATCCTGAGACCCAAGACTTGTCTGGCTGAGCAGTTTAAAGGCCCCTCCCCTTAAAGCTCCAGAATCCTGCAGGAGGCAGACACTGGATTGAAAGTGGATCCATGCTCTATAGCAAGCTTGGGCATGCTTCGGCTCTGCAGGTGTTTTGGGGCTCATCCACACAGCCATCTAACCCAGAATATCAAGGCAGAAAATTCCACAATCTCTGTTTTTAACTGGGTTATCTAAGAGCCCTTCCACACAGCCCTATATCCCAGAATATCAAGGCAATATCTGCTTTGAGCTAGGTTATCTGAGTCCACACTCAAAGATAATTGTTTCTGGGCCTGGCCTCATGTTAGCCACCCCGAGCCCCCTTTGGGGAGACGGAGGCGGATTATAAATAAAGATTATTATTATTATTATGTGGGATTTTCTGCCTTGATATTCTGGGATATAGGGCTGTGTGGAAGGGCCCTAGGCTATATGAGTCCACATTGCCATTTATCCCAGTTCAAAGCAGATAATGTGGGATTTTATTCAGTTGTGTGGCAGGGGCCTTGGACTTCAACTCCCACAACTGGCTGTTAAGTATTGTGGGAGTTGGAAGTCCAAAACAGCTGGAGGGTTGAAGTTTTCCCAGGCCTGCTTTAGTGTGATGAGGTGGTAAGAGTCCTTCACACCCCCCCCCCCTTTCGCCTCTATGCATTTCTTTTAGGGGGCTCAATGGGTTAAACCCTTGTGCCAGCAGGACTGACAGGTTGGAGATTTGAATCTGGGGAGGGTGCGGATGAGCTCCCTCTGTCAGCTCCAGCTCCCCATGCAGTGCCATGAGACAAGCCTCTCACAAGGTTGGTCAAACATCAGAAACATCTGGGGCAGCAGGCCCGTAGCCAGAATTTTGATTCGGGGGGGGGGGGATGCAGAGTTTGATTCAAGGGGGAGATGTTGAGGATCTACCCTAGCAAATCTTTTGTATCGTTATCCCATGCATATGGGGTATATTGAGCATGGTGATCAGATCATGATATGAATAAACATAACAGTTTAAATAATGTACCAGTAAGGCCTTCTCGTGGACCACCCTGAGAATTTCGGGGGGGACGGGACTGAAGCCCCTCAAGCCCCCCTCCCCCAGCTACATGCCTGATCCAGGCGTCCCCTGGGCAACGTCCTTGCAGACGGCCAATTCTCTCACACCAGAAGCGACTTGCAGTTTCTCAAGTCACTCCTGAGACGGAAAAAGGGGGGGGGGGGATTTGTTGTGACAGAGAAGTAGGGAGAAACACCTCCCCTGATTTACAGACCCCAGGGAGCGGCACAGCGGCTCAATACAGACATCCAAGGCGGGACCAAAGCGCTACACGACTGTGCAGTGTGGATGCAGCGCCAGTTAGCACTTTCTCCCCGGTTGCATCCCCCCCCCTCCTTGGAGTCCGGCCGGGATGCCAACAGGGTGGTTGCCATGGCAGCTACTGTGGGACCAATGCAATGTGGAACCGTTCTAGTGAAGCCCCAAGAAAGCCCTGGCCTGGAGGGCCTCAAGCAGGGCCTCCTCCTCCTCTTCACACCGCCCTCCCTCCTGGCCTGCCTCACCCGGGCCGAGTCCTCTTCCTGCCCGGCCGCCGCTGCCGCTGCTCGAGCTGCCTCTGCCGCTGCCGCCGCCGCCTTGGCGCTGGTTCGGGACAAGCGGGTCCGGGACGAGATGAAATGGCTGCCGGCCCCGGCCCCCGCCGCCTTGGCCAGCAGGCGCTGCGACTGGACGCTCTTGCGCGTGTTCACCATGGCCGCCGCCGCCGCCGCCGGAAAGCAAGCGAGCAAGGGGGACCCCCTGCACCCAGCTCCGCCTCGGCCTCCGCCGCTCAGCCAGCCAGGCAGGCACCCTCACCCACGGGCCGCCATTGCTGCGCCTTCCCTCGTCCCTTTCTCTCCTCGCGCACCCGCCCGCACGCCCGCGCGCGGACTCCAGGGGGCGCTGCGCCGCCGCCGACGCTCATAGGACGGCCTCTTCTTCCACCTCCTCCCTAGGCCTGGCAACATCCAGGCGCACAGGGAGGCGGGGCTTCCGGTGCCAATGGGGAGGCGCCATTGGACGGGACGCTCTACCCCTCCCGACGAACCGCTCTACCCCTCCGCATCTCTGTGCGCCTCCAGGAGGACTCCCCCTTGACCCCAAGGCCCATCTCACCCACAAGGTCAAGGCAGGTCATCCACAATATCTGCCTTACCTAAAAGCCCTTCCACACAGTCATTTGGCCCAGAATTGTTTTTGTTTCTTTGTTCAGTATGCAGAACACATCATGCAATATGCAAGGTTTGACAAATGTAAGGCTGGGGTGGAAATTGCTGGAAGAAACATTAACAACCTTAGATATGCAGATGATACCACTTTGATGGCCGAAAGCGAGGAGGAGCTGAGGAGCCTTCTAATCATTGAATCCTAGAGTTGGAAGAGACCTCATGGGCCATCCAGTCCAACCCCCTGCCAAGAAGCAGGAATATTGCATTCAAATCACCCCTGACAGATGGCCATCCAGCCTCTGTTTAAAAGCTTCCAAAGAAGGAGCCTCCACCACACTCCGGGGCAGAGAGTTCCAATGCTGAACGGCTCTCACAGTCAGGAAGTTCTTCCTCATGTTCAGATGGAATCTCCTCTCTTGTAGTTTGAAGCCATTGTTCCGCGTCCTAGTCTCCAGGGAAGCAGAAAACAAGCTTGCTCCCTACTCCTTGTGGCTTCCTCTCACATATTTATACATGGCTATCATATCTCCTCTCAGCCTTCTCTTCTTCAGGCTAAACATGCCCAGCTCCTTAAGCCGCTCCTCATAGGGCTTGTTCTCCAGACCCTTGATCATTTTAGTCGCCCTCTTCTGGACACATTCCAGCTTGTCAATATCTCTTTTGAATTGTGGTGGAAATCAAAGTGAAAGAAGAAAACGCAAAAGCTGGGTTGCAGCTAAACATAATAAAAACAAGATTATGGCAGCAAGAATAATTGACAGCTGGGAAATAGAGGGAGAAAACATGGAGGCCGTGAAACGAATGAACGAATGAACAACAACAACATTTGTTCGGTCACTTCTGACTCTTCGTGACTTCATGGACAAGCCCACGCCAGAGCTCCCTGTCAGCCGTCATCACCCCCAGCTTTTTCAGAGTCATGCCAGTCCCTTCAAGGATGCCATCCATCCATCTTGCCCTTGGTCGGCCCCACATCCTTTTTCCTTCCATTTCCCCCAGCATCATTGTCTTCTCTAAGCTTTTCTGTCTCCTCATGATGTGGCCAAAGTACTTCATCTTGGCATATCTGTATATATATTTAGATAACATATAAATCTCTCTTGTTTGGATCTTCAAGATATGTATATGCAAAAGGATTGTTGTAAGTTTTTTGGGCTGTATGTAGAACAGTGCCCAAAAGTCCCATCTCAGCAAGCGGCTTCAGAAAGGGTATCATGGACAATGGCATCAAAGTCACAGAGAGATCCAGCAGAACCAGAAAGGACATATTTCCCATTAAGTTACTGGTGTAGTCCATCCACCAAGGCAACCCAATTTGCCTCTACCCCATAACGAGGCCTGAAACCTGCTTGATAATCCATCCCATCCAGAAGCTCCTGGAACTGGGAGGCCACCATGTGCCAAAAACTGAATATTTGAAACTGAGTTAACTGAAAACACTCAATAGTTGGGCTTTCAACCTACAAGGAAATGCTCAAATCCCTTCTTGCACATATATTATCAAAATTAGTGAATTTCCAGTTTGGAAAAGACAAACTAGAAACTAAGTCCAGAATTGGCACTGAAAGCTACTTTAGGATACTACTTCTTCTCTATAACTCTGACCCTCCACTTCTAAAAGGCCTAAAGCAATCCAGTGGCATCTGTGGAACTGACTTTCTATCCTATGTTTTAGTGGACCCCACTCCATCTCATGTGTCTGATTCATATGGTCCATTCATCAATCTGAGGTCGCTACTCTGTACATCTAACTAAGCACCATGCAGACCACAAATAGCTATGCTAGAATAAATTAGTATCAAAGGTGCTAATGGATCCCTTTTTATTCTACTATTCTAGTATGGGATTTCAGCTCCACTAAAACCGTGGGTTAGAGGCCTGGAGTGCCAAACTTCCAATGACCAGATAGGACACAGACAGACTGAAGGCAAAATCAAGGGCTTTATTCTCAATAGCCAGAAAGGATGTCAGCAGAGCTAGCTCTCCAAAGAATTTACAGTGAATACTGAACATTTTTATTTCATTTTGATAGCTATTCAAGAAACCCGTGTCAACTCCTGAATGGTTTATTTATTTTATTTATTTACAGTTCTTATATTCCGCCCTTCTCATCCCGCAGGGGACTCAGGGCGGATTACAGTAAACACATATATGGCAAACATTCAATGCCAGTTTGACAAATAACATTTAACAGACAAATACATTTAACAGACAAATACACCGAGGCTATTTAACTTTTTTTTTTCTGGCCGCCAGGGGAGCTGCTGCTTTTCATCGTCCATCAACGACACCGATGAAGTTCTTCCACATTCCACATTCCCCGGAGTCTTTTTTCTTTATGGCCTCATAAATTAGTTAAATTTAGCCTCCCACACAAGGTGGTACCTTATTTTCCTACTTGACAGATGCAACTGTCTTTCGGGTTGCAAAGGTCGACAACGGGCTACACAATGGCTGGACACCCACTCCAGCCCGGGCTGGCTTCGAACTCATGACCTTTTGGTCAGAGTGATCTTAATGCAGCTGACACTCAGCCAGCTGCACCACAATCCCAGTTTAGAAACTGACCGACTGGAATTGACATCCTGAGTTACTCAGGGCTCCATCTGACATAATTGCTTGTTGGCTCTTTGTGGTGGCGGGAAATTTAAGAAACTATCATTGCAGCATTTGAAGTGTCCATCCGCGGTGTAGCAATTGCCAATGGGTTTATGATGGGCTTTATGGTTTGACTCCAGTAGACACAATCGGGTTAGTCCAAAGTACACAATAGGTGCTTGAAGTTGATGACCATTTCAATGGGTGTTGCAAGGGTGAGGCTGACTTGGGGCATGGGAGATAGATAGTTCCCACGTATCTCAGTCCATTGTGAAGAGATTGTGGAGATTTTAAAGGATCGTTTCCTGGGTTCTGGTAGGGTGTTAGACAACATTCCAAAATCAATTCATAAAAAGGATTACTGCAGGGCAAAAAAAGCACTCTCGCTACAAGCTCAAATGGAGCCACACCTATAGAATCATATCTATCTATATATATAAATGCTCTGCGCGTAATTAGTACGTTAAAAACAAAAAAACCTACAGGGCCAAATGACCCCAAATTTGGCAACAAAAATCCTCACAATCCAAGACGTGAACATCACTGAAAAAACTCCACAAAAGCACCTTTAAAATCAAAAAAGGAAGAAGACAACATACCTCCCCTGCCCCCCCCCCCCCCGCACCGAGGACACAGCCAGCACGTCTCTCTGACCCCTAACTAACACTAAGGCAAGGGATCAAAGGGCAGAGCCTGAGGAGAAGAAGGGGGGGGGGGAAGGGTGCAGGCCACACTCTGTTCACACACTCTGACTCTCTGTCTCCCACACACACACGCTCCCACAGCACAAGGGAAGGAGGAAAGTGCCATGATGGGGGTAATAGGGACACACAAAACTGACATTGCTTGGAAAGGAGCCCCAAAGACCATCCAGCCCAACCTCATTTGGCAGTAAAGGAAGACACCATCAAAGCCCTCACAACAGATGGCCAAGCAGTTGGAAGGGAGCTCTAAAGGCCATCCCGTCCAACTCCCTCCTTCCTGCCCTTCTTCCTTCCCTTAGAATAGAGTTAGAAGGGACTCTACCATTGTATTGAGGGAGAACAGACAGGAAGGAATAAGAGAAGAAAGGAGGGAGGGGAAAGGGAAGGAATGAAGGAGGGAAAGGGGGAAGGAAGGAAAGAGAGAAGGTGGGAGGGAAAGAAGGAAGGAAAGAAAGAGGTACTGGAGGAAGGAAGAAGAGAAAGTAGAAAAGAAAAAGGGGAGGAAAGGCAGGAAAGAGGTAAAGAAGGAAGGAAGGAGAAAAGGAAATAAAAAGTGAAAGAAGGAAGGAAACAGGGAGGGAAGAAAGGAGAAAAGGAAGAAGGAGGGAAGGAGGGAGGAAAGGGAAGGAAGGAAGGAAGGAAGGAAGGAAGGAAGGAAGGAAGGAAGGACGGTTGAAACCAAAGAGCGAAAGAAAGAATGAAAGGAAGAGGTAGAGGAAGAAGAAAGGAGAGAAAGGGGAAGGGGAAGAAAAGGGGGGAAGGTACCTCTCTTTCATAACAGTCCAGATATCTGCCTCTATTTTGAAAAGTCTTACTATAGGTCACAGCAACGCATGGCAGGTAGTATTTTATTTTATTTATAATTTGGGGTCCCGTTTCTCAATAACAAGGCTATCTCTTGTAATATCCCCACCTTTAAAATTCATATGGGGCTTTTGTAGAATTTGCCAGAAAGTTCAACAGCGTGTCAACTTTTTCTTTTTGTCTTCAGTGTATCTATTTGTTAAACAAAGATATGTATTATAACATTTCAGTTATATTCCAGTGAACTCATTCTGGAGGAATTCAAATTCAGGAGAGTGTTGCACCCCTGAAATTACTCACCACTTGAAAAACTATACATAACAATACATATGATTCAATGGCACAGAAAGCTAGACCAAGAAGACAAGGCTAAGAAAGGATTTAAACTTCCCAGTTGTTTAGTTTTGGGAATGGTCTATCTGGCTAGCATATCCAAAAGTGAGTTTTTTGAATTTTTTGGGCTGTATCGCCATGTTCCTTAGCATTCTCTCCTGACGTTTTGCCAGTATCTATGACAGGCTTCCTCAGAAGTTTATTTGCCAGTCTGCAGGAATGAGGCAAGTGGGGTGTATATACTGTATATCTGGAATGTTCAGGGT